CTGGCACGCGGGGGGGGGGGGGCAAACAAAAGCTCACGACCTGCTCACGCGCTGTTAGCTTAGCGACGTAATGACGTGTGCTCTCACCTGTCGGCACGGTGACCTGATGCGTGCTGGCCACGGCCCTCCAATGAGCGAGCAGCCTGTCCGAGTGCTCGTCCCCCATTGGCTCGGGGTTGTCCGTGATGTCATCGTCCAGCTGCTCGTCTTCGTCCAAGCCCTCCAGGTCGTCCAAGGAGATCAAAGCCATGCCGCTCACCTATCACCTGAGCGACAAGTGTTGTTGGGGGGGGCAACAAGAACAGTCGATGGCGTCACAACAAGAAAGCAAGCTTGTGTGAGCGACCAGTTCGATGAATATGACTTGACGAGAATTCTTCTCACTGGGTTTATTAGACGAAGGCACGACGACGTCATTATTGCGCACGGGTCGAAGCAGGAAAAGAACCATTAGCGCCTAGCTAACCGTTAGCCTGCAGCTCGGCGCCACATCAACACGTCACTCGTTTACTTCAGCTGAGCTTAAACTTCGACTCCCTTTTGGTCGGACGGTTGGCGCGATCTGGCGCGCGTGCGTGCGTGCGCGCGCGCGCTTACCTCCTCGATCACGCGCGTGCTCGTCACGGCAGTGCGCAGGACTGACGACGCTCGTCCTTTCGCGGTGGTTAAGCACTTGGTGACACTTCCGGTAGGAGCCCCGGGCGCCCTTCAGCGTAAAACAGCGACATAAACGGAAGTGTTGCCTTTAACGAGCCTATAACCGACAGTCTTGTCCAGAACTCAAGTGGAATTAATGATAACTCGGTTTTATTTTTTGGTTCATGTTTTGTTGTTTGTTTGTTTGTTTTTAATGGTCATGTATCAGAACGCGGAGCAAGTGTCCATGACGTCATGGACTAAAATCGTGTCGGTTGGTGTCCGGCGGCCAGGGGGCAGCAGAGCAGCGATTTCTTCGTCGTAGCCGCCGCAGCGTGTCTTGGATTTCTTGCCTCATTTCCATCGGCGCATCAGTGCGGCCTCACTTCCGCAAATGCGACGCATAATACCTAGCCAGATGTTGTGACCGGCTCGTCCCCGTGTTTTGTGTGCGCGCGTGTCAGTGAACCGTGTTTACCTGCTGTCAGACCGGAGGAGGTCACAGGTGAGCGAGCCAAGCAAAGTGCGTCTTTAAATTTTCATCGGCCCTCCCCCACCGGTTCCGACCGTAGTGCCGATCAATAAATAATTCAGGCTGAGTGGAGGTCGCTCGGCTCCGCCTCCTCCGGTCAAACCTGCCGCGGCTGGACACTCGATTAGGCACGCCGGTAAGCCGACTCCTCAGTTGCCACGGCGACGCCCGGGCTGCCGCTCGCGCCGCCGCCTCTTCGGCGGACGGACGCAGCGGGTGTCTCTGTTGCCACGGCAACAACCCTCTGCCATCGTCGGTCGCCGCGGAAGCGAGTCGAATCGTTGAGTCAGAGAAGAGACGCCGCAATGCGCGATCGCGATCGTCTGCGGTGGTCGGATCTGTACAAAGCGCTCGGGGAATTTGTGGTCGGAGGCAAACAAAACCGACATTTCGGACAGAAACACGCGAATCGCGCGAGCGAGGCCGGCCATTTGTGCCGGTTCCAATTTTGCCGCGCTAAACTCGCTGTCAGTGGCCTTGCTGGGCAGCTGAGGGGTCATTGGAACAAAGGGGGTGGGCTTTCTTTGCCGTCGAGGGCGACTCGTAGTTTGGGTCGGAATGGATTTGTCTCTCTGCCTGTCACGTTTGCGGACAGAGTTCTCCTTTGGAGGCGCACGATGAGAGTACTAATGAGCCGATGTGGCCGCGGCGTTCCGCAAGGCTTTGACTCTTCCTTCACGCCAGCTTTGCGTGTGCGTACAGCCTTGAACAGAGCGAGTCCTAATGAGGACGGGCCCAAGGCTGCGTGGGTGACGCGCATGTGCGCACGCACGCACACACACACACACACACACACACACACACACACATTTAAAAACACCCCCGAGAAAAAAAAACACTTTTTAAAAACACACACACACACACACACACACACACACACACACACACACACACACACACACACAGGTACTGGTTTTTCACCTGTAGAGGGGACCGCAGGGGGGGGGGGGCTCTTGGGCACATTCTGGTATGTTTAACGCTGCAGTTTTTTTCAGGTTCTTTTTATTTCCCCCCACGCCGTGGCTGGGGTGGCATTGAGCCTTTGGCTGGTCGCAGAACTTCAAAGCCTCCGGTCGGGCATCTTCAAAGCTTTTTCGCTGCCGGCGACCGTCGGCAGCCGCGGCCGTTTCTCCCCACGCCGGACTCCGTCGATAAGAGTCGGCTCTGCTTCAGCCGGGCGGCAACCCATCGGGTCGCCTGGTCTCAGGAGATAATGGAGATGCCTGGTCCAGGTCCGGCATCTTTTTGGGAGGGAGTGACCTTCCCGGCATCGGGCGAGGAAGGACGTGGGAGGTGGCTCGTCATCTTGACGGAAGAAGCCCCCGACCGCACATCCCCTGTGACGATGGGAATCCGCTCCCGTGTAGCTGCTGCTCGTTTCCGCCCAGGAGCGGGGGAAATAAGATCTGCATGAAGGTCACTTTGCCCCCCCGGGCATTTTCTCTCTGGTCGAAGAAGGCCAGCCATCTTTGCGTCAGGCTTGAAGCGCAGCGACGGGGGATCGGCGTACCTTCTTTGCGCGCGAGGGGCCTTCATCTGAAATGGCAGGGAAATGGGGGTGCGAACCCCCCCCCAAAAAAAGGCAGCTCCGACCCCCGTAAGGCAGCACCAGATACCCCGGCCGGTACACGGCGCCGCCTCGACAGGCGAGGGTGCCTTCGTGTGTCTTGGGGCACGGGTGTGGGCCTCGTGAGACATCTCAGGTGATGGGGGGGCCAAAAAAAAAGTTGTCCATTAAGTCCATCAATATTTCATAAAAGTCGTTGCAGCTGCTTCCTGTAAGCGGACGCCTCCCCTCCCCTCCCCACGTGTTCATGAGAGTGTGTGTGTGTGTGTGTGTGTGTGTGTGTGTGTGTGTGTGTCAATGCATGCATGCGTCAATGCGGGCGCTTGTGTGTTTGAAGGTCATCCCACTTCCTGTCGGTCAGCACTTTGACTTCATTTGCTTGCCGGCGTGTTAACGTTGCTCTTTCGCCGCCGACTTTGCGATCGTTCCACTCATGCGACGCCTTCAACGTGGCCTCCGTAAACAACGCGCGCGCCTTCCGATCGATACGGCCGACTCTTTCCCACGATCAGACTCAAGCCCCTCCCATCAAAAGATTATGGATCGCCCCGCTGAAAGCTTCATCAGCAGGAATCGACTGGCAGGTGGGGTGCCGCGTGCGTCGTCGTGTTCAAGTGGTGCAGTCGCAGCTGGTCAGAGGAAGGCAACGTGATGCCGATCCACGTCCTTGGTCGGCTGTCACCTTATTGTCTCATCCGCCCCCCCACCCCACAGATACATTAACGCCCACAATGTGTGTGTGTGTGTGTGTGTGTGTGTGTGTGCCTTTGCGTCCTATCATCAACAAAAACAAGCAAAAAAAAAAAAAAAAACCCGAGCCCCGTTCTTACTTTGAAGGCAGCGCGACGGAAGTTCCGGTTGGTCGGGAGCTTCCGCACGCGAGGTTGACGTGGTCCGGACCGCAGCGCGAGCGCTTAAAGACAAAGGGAGCCAGATACATTCACGCCCACAATCTGTGTGTGTGTGTGTGTGTGTGTGTGTGTGTGTGTGTGTGTGTGTGTGTGTGTGCGCCTTTGCGTCCTAACATCAACAAAAACAAGAAGAAAAAAAAATAAACAACAACCCGAGCCTCGTTCTTACTTTGAAGGCGGCGCGACGGAAGTTCCGGTCGGTCGAGAGCTTCCGCACGCGAGCTTGACGTCGTCCGCCGTCGGTCGTGGGCGCTCGGCGCACGGGCGCGCGCTCCCGACGGCGAACCGCAGCGCGCGCGCGCGTCAACCCGCGATGGCAGCAGGAGGACGCCATGGCGGCTGAAGACAAAGCGAGCCGCGAGGAGGGCGGGCGGCGGGCGTTCGCGGCGCGGGCGTGGGGCGCCGCCAGCTTGGCCCTGAGCGCGCTCTCCCTGCTGCTGCTCGTCACGGCCATCGGCACCGAACACTGGTACGAGACGGACACGCGGCGCCACCGCGACAACTGCGAGCGGCAGGGCGCCGACTCGGGCGGCCAGCAGAACCGCGACATGCCCATCTACCTCCTGCCGCTGCTGGACACGGGCGCGACGGGCGCGGCGGG